TTGCCCATATCTATGTCCCACACCCCTTGGAAATGTTTGGTTAATGTTTGCACCCCCTACAAAACTAATACCCCATTTGAAGATGAAGATGCCTGTTCTAATTGTAAAGAAAAAGAAAAAAGGGGGAGTTAGGCATTTTTAGAAAGTGACACAATCTGTATGGATAATGTCCATAGTATTTATCTGCTATTTAAGTATCGCAAACAAATCTCGTAGAATAAAAATTATATAGGATAAAAATTATAGCATTCATAAAAAAAAAACATGGTATACATAAAATGAGGACTAAGGTCTTGTGTTCTTTAAGAAATAATAATCAGTCTCTATAATAATCACAATCACTCCTGAGTCAATCACTCTTATGGAGTAGAGCCAAACCAGCCCCCTGGTTCTCCAGGAAGCTGATGGTGAAGAAGCGAGTGAGATGGAGACTAGCGTGACATTGGTGGAAGACTTGAAGTGGATCTGACCAAGCACAGGCTAGAGCAGGGGTAGGCAACCTAAGGCCCGGGGGCCGTATGCGGCCACCCGAGGCCTTTGGACTGGCCCCAGGCCAGTCCTGCCACCGCCACCCCCGCTGCCGCCTGCCATGATGATATTGATTATTGTTGCTATTACTTGTTCTTGGGGTTTTCTTGGCAAAATCTCCACAGGGGTTTTGCTATGGCTTTTCTGGGGCTAAGAGAGTGTGCATGCATATTTTTTTAAAAAAAATGATTTTTATTTATTTATTTATTTTTGGTGCTTCGGCCCCCCAATTGTCTGAGGGACAGCAACCTAGCCCCCAGCTCAAAAAGGTTGCCTACCCCTGGGCTAGAGCGACTCTTCCCAGGAAGACCAGAATAGCCCCTGCCTTGATGGCCTTCTGCCAACAGACAAATGCCTTTTCAGACAGGCATTCCAAACAGAAAAATTTAATGAAAAGCCTGGGATGCTATATTATTTTAAATGAATTTTAAACATTTTATTTTTTTATTGTAGTAGTTTATTTCTGGTTTTATGTATTATTTTTGTATGTTTTTAATTCTGTTGGTTGGTTGGTTGGTTGGTTGGTTGGTTGGTTGGTTGGTTGGTTTTAAATGTTGTCAGCAGCCCTGAGTCCTAGTCCTGGGAGAAGGGCAGGATCATCATCATCATCATCATCATCATCACCATCATCATCATTCTTGAAGACCTAAGCCTGTATCCAGAGACTTGACTGTTCTGCAGTTGCCCACCCAGTTCTAAATGTTTAAAAATAAAGAAGTGTACGTCTGTGTGTTGTGAAACTTGTTCAAGAGTCCCATCTGCAAATCAAGTGAGATGTCAGACTCCTGAAGGCATTGCATTAAAGCTGACTTGGTAGGCAAGAGTGTTCCCTGCTGTTCCACCAGTTTGCTCTTGAAGAATTGGAAGTATCTTGACATCTGATGGGCATCCAGAAGCTTTTCTTGGTTGGGTGCTGCTTTTCCTCTCTGATGTGGTTTATGTCCTTATCCAGATTCCTGTAACAAACCAAACAACACTGGTGTTCCGCCATCTAAAGATGGCCTCTGTGATTTAATGATACTTAACACTCTCTGGATTCTGCCTGCAGATCCCTGCTACTCTTCTGCAGATAAGAATCTTTCTATTTTTAACTGCAGTCGTTCTTCTCAGATAGAAGAAACACTAAACCAATTAAATACATTAGGAGATAACCACGCATGCAGATCTGGTTCAGGATGTCTAATTTTTGCATGGCGTAACCTGTTCTGGTAGCCGACCTTCTTCCCAGTTAGATAAGCTGCTAACTGGATCTTCTAGGGAGCAGCTGCTCTCTCTGTCATTCCAAGATTTCGTCTTCCTTTTCCAGGTGGTTACAGAAATACATTTATATGTACGCAATCTGCACTTTCCCCCTTCTTTTTTCAAATCCTGTATATTTTTTCCCCCAAAGTGTGTTGCAATTTATAGGAGGAAATTTCCCCTATCAAAGAGAGACAGCAACTTTTGCAACCAGCTTTGTGATGTAGATGCTCTTCTTGAGACTCTTGTATTTTCTCTAGCCATTTTTCCCCAACTGAGCTTTTGGGAGAAAGAACCAGGAGGTTAAATATAATTCATTTCAATGAGGGAAAACATGTTTTGCATACAAAAGAGGGCAGATTTGCTTCATGATATCAGACGAATCAATAATTGGAAAACCGTGCTTGAAGAGTGGTCATCACTAGCTGCACTTCAGACTGGAAGTTACTGGAGAGTGGATTTCGACTGAACATTAGAAGGAATTTCTTGAGAGTGAGAGCTGTTTGGCAATGGAACCAGTTGCCTGAAGAGGTGTGGGGTCTCCTTCTCTGGAGATCTTCAAAAAGAGGCTGGACAGCTACCTGCTATTGAGGATGTTCTATCTGGAGATCCTGCACTAAAACCTGATGAGTCCCTTCCAACTGTATGATTCTGTGACTCTATTCTGTGACTCTCTAGTTGGGCTTGGTATGAGGCTGCTTCACACAAAGGAACTTTGCTTCTTCCAAAAACTAACAAACACAATTGCCACTCACATATAATTAAAGGGATGGGAGCATTGCTGGCCAGTTGAGCTTTTATATTAACACTATGTTATTTTATTAGAATTGTTTATTTAATTGCTTTTAGCATGGCTTTTTTTTTAATGTTTTGAACGGATTTTAGCTGTATTTTGCTTTAATCTGTTGTGAGCTGCTTTGGGTCCCATATTGGGAGAAAGGTGGATTCTAAATTAAAGTAAATGAATT